GCAGAACCGTCTTTATGGAAGGACGAAGAGCATCTCAAGGTGAGCGCGAAGGACACGGTGCTTACGTTGCCATGGCGCCCCTCGGGCCTTCCACCGAGTCACGTCCTTGCAGTCCTCCAAGGCCGCGATTCAATTGCTGGGTGTCCGGTGGGTTTCACCGCGGCACAGTGGGCTGCTTGGCACAATGGTACGCGCCCGACGACACCCAGTGGCATCCCACAGCTGGCAGGGCTTCGATTCGCCGCCAGCCCCGGGCAGCCCATAGGCAGGGTGCTGGGGCACGAACTCGCAAATATGAGCGCAATATTTATTTTTAATGCGAGTGCGATGCAGCAAGGACATTTCTGACGGGTCCACTGGACCTTCTTGGCTTGTGGCACCAGTTTTTGGAAATGACAGCTGTGGGATTTGAACCCACGCAGCTTGCGCTAGTGGAACTTGAGTCCACCCCCTTAGACCACTCGGGCAAACTGTCCTTAGAATTCTGCATCTGGCTTGATCATTAAGTGAATTTGTCTTATTTTTCCTTGTTTTTGACCAACTCCACGCTTGAAGCGATTGCAATTACAAGTTAACGAAGTGCATACCAGCTAAGTGTTCAAGGCCCTGAACGCTTGCTCGGGTCAAGTCTTTTGTATCATCAGCCATTCACGTTCCTCGTTCATTGATCTATTCACTTCTTCCACTCCTTAAATACCGTGAAGCGAATGCAATTACAAGCAAACGAAATGAACAAATTTGCAAATGCCTGAGTGTGTCCAATCTCCATGCGTTCGCCTGCTGCACCCTCCACACAAGAATAGCGGAGCCTGGTTTCGATCCAGGGACCTTTGGGTTATGAGCCCAACACGCTAACCACTGCGCCACTCCGCTGCTGGATGTGGGAATATTATGCGGATTTAAAAATATTTGTATACTGAATTTGCCAGTGTCATGAGATTTGTACGAAAGAGATTCTTGTTCGCGGGGTTAATTAACAAATGATGAGGATTTAAAATGAAATGAATGAATGAAGTGAAAACCTTCATCGTTCGCACATGAATGTGCCAACCGGGTGAACAAGGGGTTTTTTGCGCACTAGAAGCCCTTTCTTTCCGAACAAAAAAAGGTTTTCGTTTTCATTCACAACATTATGATTCCATTCTCTTCATTTGTCTTATTATCTTTCCTTGTTTCGCCTCTTGACGCATCGGACCCAGTAGCCTAATGGATAAGGCGTTGCTGTGAAAGTGGTCCACACTTTGCCAAGCAAACTATGGTGGTTCGAGTCCACCCTGGGTCGCCTTTCGTGTTGCGTTTTTGGGTACTCATGCACTTTTTTCTCGTGGATATTCAGGACACTTCATGCGGGAAAAAAACGAATTATAATTTACAATTTAATATAAATTATATTGTCTTTGAGTGAATTATACGGGCGAACTCGCGAGCAGGATGCACACGGTAAGACAGGTGGGATATTGTGCCAACAACCCCCGCTTTGCTTTTAAGCCGTGCAAACTTGTTGACACCCCATCATGTGAGACTTGTGTTTCGCCAACCCCCCTTTTTTAAGCCCAAAAAATTTGTTGACACCAATCATGTACTTCATGCAACAGAGCCCGCCTTAAGAAGAATACAAGGGAATTTGAAGTAAAACCACCTGCACGAAGTTTCGCTTCGTTCACGCATTATGACGCACGAATTTAATTATTTAATTTGGGCTTTCAAAAGGGCACGAAATTTCCGCGAAGAAAAGCCCCTTTCATAAAATATTATCGCGACACGCATGAATTTTATATTAAAAGTGCGACGCAATACTACTATGAACAAAGGAAGTGAAACGGGCGAAATAAAAGACTTGTTGACCCCCGCAAAATACTATTACTGCGAATTAAGTTCACTCGCAAAAAAGGTGAAAGGAAACAGCTAATTGAAGGGGCGAACGAACTTTATACGCTTTTCTTCTTAATTCGTTCATACGTACACGCTCCGGAAAATCATTAGGGCCCTCACTCGTTCTCTCTTCCCTTTTTACCTTTTATCGTAGAGAATGGAATGAACACAGAATTATAGATTATAAATTTACTGCCTTCTTTTGGACTTTTTGTAATTTTTCCCCTTTCTTTGCCTGGTTTTCAAGAAGACCCCAAAATCGGTTATAATACGTCCACTTCGTGCCTACATTATAATATTCATGCGTTTACACGGTTCGTATTATTCTCACACCTTTAATTGACCATTTGATCTACATTATAATAATACCAAGCGAGGAAAGTGAATAATATTTGGTACAGCTTCTATCTTCATTCTGTTTCCGTTATATCATTATTAGGATGGGCAAAGTGAAAGAAAAGAATGAATCATTCATTAATTCTCTCATTTCGTTCATTCGCTTATAATGTAATTCGTGCGCTCTTTCACTCAATCCTTTTATTATTATTATTATTCGGGCGGCCATAAGAATATATGAATGGGGGCCGCTATAACTCTATTAATAGTACGTCCCTGAGCTATAATTCTATTCATATTGTGCTCACGGGGTAAATTGTAAGTAAAGGGAAGAAAGAACGAAGTGAGACAGAAGATTATTTAAACTCGTACTCTCATTCACTGTTCTTTGCTCACACTATTATTCACTTCTCTCCGTGGGCGCACTCATTATAATGCCCGCGATAACCTTACGAAGAGAATTCAATGAACTTCATTACAAGCGAAGAGAATACGAAGCGCGTGAATAAAGTGAATGAATGAACGAAGTGAGACAGGATTTTGGAAGAGGAAATCATTTGTAACCGCTAGAAAGAACTGGGTGATGAATCCAAGGGTCTAGAACTGTGGGCAAAAAACCTAAAATTTTATCATCAAAATGGAATGCGTGCATCCTTGCGTCCTTACCATTACATTTAATATGTTTTGGGAAGGTTAACCAGCTATAATACTAAGGGCTCAATGGTCTAGTTTCTTGGTCTAGTTTCTTGGCTCATGATTCCAAGGTGTTACACGGTTATAGCTGGAGAACCTGATGTTGGTACTTCGTTCTCACATTTTAATTGAATTCTTGCGTCATGCATTCCTTACAATTCAATTATAATGTGTTCTCTTCGTAGTACTAATTATCCGGGCTTCTCAGGAATTTATTAGTAGCCCGGTATCATTCTATTCGTTCACTCATGCATTTCACTTCTTATAATTTAACGAACGAAGAGAGGAACGAACGAAGTGGGGAAAATAGCGAATGCAATTACAAGTAAACGAAGTGAATAAATGAACGAGTTTGTGCGTGAATTGCATGAACGAAACGCCCGTTCGCAGGCTCACTAATACTAATACTTCGTGAAGAGAATTTAATATTGAATTTGTAAGGAACAAAGTGACGCACATGATGGGTGTCAACAAGTTTCTTGGGCTTTTGAAGCACGCTCTGCAGGGGTTGGGGGGATGCAAACACATAGGAACAAGGGTGCGAGGGGCTGAGATGCAGGGGTGCAGCCGGTGCAGGCTTTGTTCGCTGAAACGGTGGGGTTCAGCTTTCTCCTCTTGAAGCTCCACAAGCTTAGTCACAAAGTCACAGGCGAATGGGTAAAACAGTCCCCACAAGGGTGCCTCCAGGGGTCTGCGGAGCACCCTTAATTTTTTTGGGGGGAATGGCGGGAGGCACCTCTTGCCTGCGTGTGAACGCCACTGGCACGGTCGGTTGAAATGCCCAGTGCACGGGGGTATTTCATCGAAACAGACCTTGGCTGAAATCGTGTAGAGGGGGTGCGAGACCCCCCAAAACAGCTGGGACACACGACCCCTATGCAAACACCCTGCTCACATGATCAAGTTTCTTGGGTTTTGAAGCACGCACGGCTTAAAAAAAAGTGGGGGTTGGGGGGAGGGTGGTAAGCAGACGCTCGGGCGGGGCTTGGCTTCACCTTCCTTCCTTTCTTCCTTGTTTTCTTCCTTTTTTCTTCCTTCCTTCTTTCAGGGCGGGGGGGGGGTTGGAGCCCTCCCCATCTGCAAACACAATGCTCACATGCAAGTTTCTTGGGCTTTCAGGCATGCTTTTTTTCTGAAAGGCTCAAAAGAAGGGGGGGTTGGGGGGGGCGCAGCCCCCATCTGCAAACACAATGCTCAGATGATTGGTGTCAACAAGTTTCTTGGGCTTTGAAGCACGCTTTGCACGGCCTAAATGAAGCGGGAGGGTCGGGGGGGGGGGCGCAGCCCATTTGCAAACACAATATGCTGACACGATGTTTTTTCAACTAGTTTCTGTTTCTTTGCAGCACGCTTCGTACGGCTTAAAAGAAGCGGTTGGCAAGGCGTAAGGCGTAAGAAAAGCGGGGGGGGGGGGTTGGGGGGGTGGGCGCAAGCCCCCCCCCCCATTTGCAAACACAATGCTCACACGATGTTTTTCAACTAGTTTCTTGGGCTTTGAAGCACGCTTTGGTACGGCATAAAAGAAGCGGGGCGGGTTGGGGGGGGGCGGCCCCCCCCCCCATTTGCAAACACCCTGCTCACATGATGGGCGTCAACAAGCTTCTTGGGCTTTGAAGCACGCTCTGCACGCTTGAAAAAAAGCGGGGAGGGGTTGGGTGGGTGTCAAAAAGTTTCTTGGGCTTTGAAGCACGACGCTCGGGCAAGGCTTGGCTTCACCTTCCTTCCTTCCTTCCTTCCTTGCTTTCTTCCTTTCTTTCTTCCTTCCTTCTTTCCTTCCTTCCCTCCTTCCTTCCTGCCTTCCTTCCTTCCTTTCTTCCTTCTTCCTTCCTTCCTTTCCTTCTTTCCTTCTAAAACCTACAAAAAATAACGCTTTCGTACGAACAACCACGAAAATGCATCAAATCCTTAAAAAAATATACTTTGGAAAAAACAAGAAAATCGACCAAAACAAAAAAAAAGACCCCCCCAAAAAAGACCCCAAAAAATGGGCCCTCCGTTGTTATCTGCCTGCTACAAGCTCTTCCAGCAATTTCCTATTTTGTTTGGGTGTGGGAAAGGATACTTGCACAAAGCTGATTGCTGGGCTCCGCAGTGCCAACCTCGGTGACTTCACTGACCGCGTCCAAATCTGGCCAGCTGCATAGAACCTGTATGGAGCCGCTACTGGCGTACGAGAAGTGTTCCTGTGGTTCACTTGCTATTGCGTGAAAACAAGCCTGCCTGCACGAATGGTCGCCATAGAATGCGTCCTGCTACTCAAAATGTCGAGGTGCATGAGTGCATGGGCAAAGTTGTACAGGTACCTTCGGCATCCTTTTCTGCCAGCAGAACCAAGCGATCCTGCAAAGGGGCTCTGACGATGTATTTGGCTAACCAGGTTCCATGAACGGCCTCGTCATCCTCTGGAAGGGAGCCTGGCACTGCCCCTGGACAAGCGAAGTGTAACAAAACCATGTGCCTCGAAGCTCTGGAATGGCTGAGAAGCCCGCATATGTCTGCCATGGCAGCTTTTAAACCTTTTCTGAAATCCACCTGTCAGAAACAAAATAAAGCAAGCAACTGAGCTTGACTGAAACGAGGCATCGCGCTTCTGGAAGCCAATCGTCAGCAGCCGAACCAGCAGCGTTCATGATGCAGGACCCCTTTCCTTGCTTTGAAAAATAACTGCCTGAACCATTGCAGCCTGTGCTTGCTGAGGCAACTCACCCCACAGCCGCTGTCTTGCGGCTTCCCGCAGCTCAACTACCTCGGACGCAACGGCAGTGTCGTCTCGCTTGCTTGCAATGCCTTGTGCCAATTCTTAGAGTTTTCAGCTGAGAATTGTCAATGCTGTGTGGTAATAGTGTCCTGCTCCAAATACGATGCCAAAGCCTCGAGAAGTGTGCGGTGGTCTGTGGCGGCAAAAGAAGCCATGAGCTTCTGCTAGCGTGGCGCTGCCACGAGTGTCGCCAATCAGTGTCCACGTCTGTTGTTTGCCGCTTCTGCTGCTTTTATCATCAATATTTTCTGTTTATTTCAAATCTGTATAAACATCGCAAAACAATATCTGCTGCTTCTGCTGCTTCTGGCGGCTCCTGCTGCGGCATCTCATGCTGCTTGTACTACTTGTGCTGCTGCTGCTGCTGCTGCTGCTGCTGCTGCTGCTGCTGCCGCTGCTGCCGCTGCCGCCGCTGCTGCTGCGGCTGCCGCCGCGGTGCGTGGGTGCCTCGTGATGCTCTGTGGATGTGTCATGTGCCAATCTGCACGATCGGCTTCGCTGACTTGTCCTCCTGTGCTTTCCCATGAGGTAATAGTGGAATATTGGCTCCTGTTCGGCGAGGCTCATCTTGCATCTGCTGCTTGGCTTGTTTTGTTCCCTCGCTGCTGGGTTCATGCTGCCCGACAATGGATGCGGTGGTGACAGTCTTCCACCGGGCTGATCCAGTAAGTTCTATGTTATATCCTTTGTGGTGAAGACGCGCTTTGCCATTGTTGTTCATGGACACTCTCCGTTCGTGGGAATCTAGACTTCTTGAACTCTGGTGGACGTGAACACCACTACGAGTCTGATGATGAGCTTGTGAGGGCTGGGTATGGCAGGGCCTGCTCTGAGGCAAAGGGCCATGGAACATTGCAAGCCAGGGAAAACACGCAAGGTTTGAGGGTCGCACCAGACCCTCCATCTCAGGTTGGCCAGCCTTGAAAGTGGGACAATCGCCCCAAAACTTACACAAACTCTGGCATTCGTGTTGCAAACCAAGATCCAAACACGATCGATCATGTCGTAGAGCAAAGCCAGTTGGACCTTTTCAAGGGAAGTGGGTTGGTCCTCATGCAGCGGCAACATGAAGCTCCAACTTGCCAGCGGACAGTGCCAGATCCACCAGAGCGCTTGCCAGAACTAGCCTTAGCTGTCAAGTGTTGTGTCTCGTTTTGCCTTTGTTTTTGGCTGAGTGGAAGACTGATATCGCTGTAAGCAGCTCATCGGCCTGCAAGCGAGCAGTCAAGGTGGCAATTCGGGAAAGCCAGTCAGTGGCAACGGCAACGCCTCTTCAACCGATATGCCCAGGCGCAAGTGCCCCAACAGGCTTCCAAGCAGGTCACGGCCTCAGCCGCACGACCAGATTGAACCTTTCTGCAGAGTGCGGCTGTCTGGGATGCCGAGCTCACCAATGCAGCCTCAGCCTGCTTGGCGAATGAATGCCCACAATGCAACGCCGTGGAAAAAACAAAGCTGGTGAACCTGTTGTCGGTTTGATCCATCGGCGAGATCGAACAAACCTCAACTGCCCACTCAGGAACCTTATTGCCATGTCCGCACCGCCCTCCAAGGCTGCAACCCAACAGTGAGCCAAGCGTGATTTTGGACCCTGCCATAAAGAGCCGCTGTCGAACCTCGTGGAAGGTTCTGTGCATTCCGCACATATTTTGCATTGTCTTATGACGCTTGGCTAACCACTCGCCAAAGTAAAGCTGAAACCACCTCAGTTCTTCATCCAGTGCAACGATGCTGCCTTGGACAAGCTAGTGCACCCTAACCTCAGACCTTGCAGCTCCGGCCAAGTTTTCGCCGCAACCATTCTTACGCTGTCTGGTCGTCGTTTTAAACGAGCAGCGTCGCTATTTCACTGCTCATGCTCACCTGTGTTGCACGTGCATCTGCGTGAATACTGCATCCAGTAGCACTCGCGGGAAGGGGTGGGAGGCGGGGTGAAAAAAATGAAGGGGAGGGGAACTTCCCTGCCCGCTGCCGGGCGCACACACACGCAGGCTACATTACGTGCTTGGGCCGCTTGAGGTCCTTTGAGAAGAGCGAAGAGCAGACCAATCAGGCTTTCAATCCAAGGCCGAAGCTAGAACTTGCGGAGCGCTGTGCGCCACAGAAGTTCTCCTTGATGGGTTCGTTGCTGGGCGTGGCCTCGATAACACAAAGTTGGATTGCGTCTTTTTGTGTTCCTTTATGTTCCTTTTGTGCCCAAACTAAGATTCTGTTCAAATCCAAGGCATGCGCGGCACATTGCTCCACGACAGGGATTCCGCCCTGGCCAAATATAGAAGACGGCCATGCAAGATTACTTTTGCACTTAGACCTTCCGTACACCCCTTGGTGCCTGCTTGCAAGTCCACCCAGCCCAAGCCTTGGCCTTGGCGTGGCATGTTGAGGAGGCAAAAACACACAGAGAACCTCGGAGAAAAAAAAAGCTCGAGTCTGTCACAGCAAGGTGTTTGGCCTGAGTTGAAGATGCAGAGTCAGAGGTGAACTAACTGAAGCATTTGTTGCTCTCAGCACGCATGCTAAGAGTTTGTCAGCAATCGTCCTTCACCATCCTGAATGGCAATTTCAAGGCTTTTTCTGGCCTCGGTCCTGTGGTGACGCACCTTGTCTGTCAGCTCGGTGAGCCACTCCATCCTGAATTCTGAGCTCGCAAGTCGTCATTCAGAGTCAGTGAGCAGCTGAGACAGCGGCTGATTGTGTGTCATGTAGGGCTCAGCCTGCCCAGTTGACGTGAAAGCTTATCAGCTTCTGCTGAACAAGATGACCTAAGACTTACAACTCAAAACCGCTTCTTCGCCTGCATCAAAGCCACCCGAAACTCTTGCTGCGATGCCCGCGAGCCTGACGATTAACCCTAGTCCAAGAGTTCAGCTGCCTACGATTTGCGCTTCGTTGGTTCTAGCCAAACGTGCTTGCAGACTCCGGATGATACTTACAGTATTCTGCCCTGTGCATCTGGCCAAGACGTTGCAGCGCAGGGCCCAAGCGTTTCGGATCCTTGCACTATGGTACTGGCATTGACAAAACCGCTTCCCAGGAGATTTCATCACAGCCAGGCTGGGTCTGAAACGATTTGCTCAATGCCTGCAGCTTCTGCTGGAACCTGGAACCACGTCATATACCCATGCCCTACAAAATTTGTTGGTTGCAGTTGGGGTCCCGAATGAAGGCGTCGGCGTCGGAGCTGCAAGGTGATAACTGAGTCTCCAACTCCCATAGCACAGGCTGCCTCTGCCGCAGTGGCCAGCTGTGCTAATGGCAAAGTTCCGGATCCTTCAAAAATCCAAGCCGAGTCACAAAAGTGGGAAATGAAGAAGCAACGCTTTCTGTGCTGCAGTCGAAGTCCGAGGGCATCGCCCAAGCCGCGGATGTGAGCAAAGATCTACAGCTGAGCTTGATGCTAACTTTGGTGGCTCTGCTTCGGTTCTCAGGTACGAGGTCAAGGCGGGCTGTACTTCAGCTCGAGAAATTCCAAGGGGTAGCACCTGCTGGCAGATTCTGGAGTATGGACCTTCAAACACTGCGAACGTCTCGGGTGCGGACGCTGACAGCTTCCATGACCTCCTCGAGCGTGGCAATGTCAGGGCTGCGAGCAAAGAGACGCAGCACCTGATGCATGAGCACGTCAATAATACGGGCCGCAGCCAAAGAATCTACGTACACTTTGTTGGAACAGCCAAACGAATGCATAAACTCAGGTCTTGACGTCTACCCCAGGGCCTGGAGCCTTGGCAGGTGCGGTGTGTCAGCGAAAACAGTGAAATGGTTCTTTTCTCTGGTTCTCCATGCTTTGCTACTTAGGCTGGTGCCCTTGCTCGGCCCAGCAAGTGCTGCGACCTCTCACAGGGAAAAACTAGCTGAGTACTAGCTCAATAAACCATGCTGAGCAGACCCGGACAACGATAAATTAGACATTTTTGCGGGTCCCCCGGCAACCGAAGAAGCGCTGCCTCTGCCCGGCCTGTCACGCCCACACGGAGTCATGCCCACGGAGCTTCGCTCGGTGAGAAAACCATTCCAACCGACAAAGTAAGCTCTGCGCATCTTGACACCGATGTCTTACCAAGTTTTTAAAGCACTGGACACAGGAAGCCGCTGAGAACAAGCATCTTTGGCCAAGAAGACACGGGAACCTGTGCCAGCGTTCTGATGTGCAGCGTGCCTTGGCAGCATCAGATGCTGTGACTTGACGGATCTAGGCCCATTGCTGTCTGTCATGTTTTGAGTGTGCAACACATGGGCAAGCAGTAGTGCAAACAGCCCTTGGCGAGGTTTGAACACCAACCACAGAGGCTACACACAGACGCTACCAAACACTTGCCCCTGAAGGTCACAAAGCCATTCGCGAAGTCCATGTCTCACTTGCAGGGCTAGGCAGTCATCCAGCTCATGAACAACTCCGGCACTATGCCTTCACGGTAGCTTACGCACGACCAGGTCGTGCTGAATTTGGCAGGGCTAGCTGGCAAGGTGAGATTGAAACAGGTTTGTGCTATCAACTTTGCAGGACTGATTTCAATAGCAGGGGGCAGTCAGCGAAGTGGAATCCTGGATATGACTGGAAAGGTGAGGCCCGAACGCGGCTGAACCGCCTGAGACTAACCCGCAGCAACTCTTGGATGGTACCATCCCGCCTACTATGTTCTGCAAGCAAAATCTGTTTCAAGCTTTCTGCCTGTTGGCGTGGAAGTGGGCTGAGCGACCTGAACTGCAGCCGCATGTGCTTGAGTTCACATGCGGGTGCTCTTGCACTGCGTCTTTATTCCCTCTGGGCTCTTTTTGTCTCTGCTTCTGGGTCGCTACAAGTCTGGACAAAGACGCCCCTCCTTCTTCTTGACACTTCAACTAACATTGCAGTTCTGACCAAGTCATGGCCATTGCTAACTGCAGGTGAGCTTGTGCGCCAGTCTCATGGACATAGCATCCATTATCTTCTACACTCCCAAATAAACAATAGCTTCCAAGCTTTAGAGCTGACGCTCGAGTGCACTTGCATGGACTTTAGCTCGGAAACATTGGAATTACATAAACATGAGTTGCTCGTCTTGGAGGGGCTGCCGGCACGAGTTGTTGGAAAACAGGTTTCACCGGCCTCGAATTGCTAAAAGTAAGTCCTAACTTCAGCTGAAACTGCCCATCTTACAGTGGCACCGCCTGTGTGTGCTCTTTGACGAAGGCTTGATGGTACTGCTGCAAAACTAATTACATATCTGGAAACGAGATGTCCGACAGCTTGGAGAAACACTATGCATGGACCATCGCCTTTCTTTTGCCGCCTCAGAACGATTCACCTCGCGCTTCCGTTCGGAACACCTCCACGCATTTCAGACACCTGAGCTGAGTCGGTCAAGTTTAGCACATTCTGGCAGATCGTTCTACAGCTGCTCCGAACTGGGCCGAACCAATCAGCAGCTCCGAACTTTGCTGCTGGCACGTAAACACAACGAATGGGCCAAGTGGCAGATGCCTTTGCTTTCTCCACCAGCTGCATGATTTGCTCTTTGGCCTGTCCGGAGCACTGAGACGGATCCCCATCAATCTCATAAACAACTGTGCACTGCGTTGCATGGGTCGCTGCCTGAGCCATCATAGGTCCTGATTTTGTCTTGGCCACAGCGAGGGTGTCGTTCAGGCAAGGCTTCAGTCTTGGATGCGACCCAGAAAAAATGACTCGTCACTTCAGGCTGTTCAAATGTGTCTTGGACAGCTTCAAATCATTTGGCCAAGGCTCTCGGCAGACTTGTAGGCGCCAATGCCTGTGCTTGCAGAGGCTTTGCTCTTACGAAAGCAGCTGTGGAAGCGCATCTCTGCCTGTGCCCAAGAAGAAGCCGAATAGGCAATCCAGCATTCTGATGGCCGACAAAGGAGCTTGAGAGCGGTGTACTGCCAGCTTGAGTAGAAACTCTGGCTGCGGGTGGTCGCGCCATGCAATGAAAACTGCAGAGTCGGGCCATAACTGCTCTTTCCAACCAAAAATTTGCATGATTTGGCCGTGCTTGCTGTTACTGGGTATGCGGCCATGGGAGAATGTAGCCCTCCTGGTGTCCGGAGCCTCAGCGAACGTGCAGAGGTAGAAATATGCTAATACGAATGGTGACAACATACTGCATCCACCAATGCTAGACACAGGTCACAAGCATATGGCAATTTGCAGAAAATGTTTGCTCGCCTACTTGCTTCTTTCTTATCTTGACATGTTCGAGCATCACATAAAACTAAGGATCTCCTGAGCTAGCTGCCCTGTGTTGCGAGGCCGCCCTGCAAGCACAACAATAAACATGGCAGAGCTCACTCGCTAAATTGCGGGAATGCGATGCTGACTGAAGGAAACCCAACCTCCTTGGGCTGGATTCAGTGGGCCAGGCACCAGCCTGCCAGCAAAGTCGTGGCAACGTCTTGCGTTGGCCAGTTATCGAAGCTCTGGGCGCATGGCGGCACGGGTGGCCCGCCAGCCATCCCAACAGGAGCTCGTCCTATGCCCTGAGATGCGCAAAAAACCCCCTGCAGCTCGACTTCAAGCGAGATTCCAGCAGCATTGCACTTTGGGAAGCAAGCTCCAGCCAAAGTTGTACCAGGCTGCCTGGGAACGTGCGCATACCCTACTGAACCCCCTCAGCTATTTGGTGCCTTCTCCGTTTTGCTCGCATTTGCAAGGGCATGAAAGACAGGTGGCTGTGATGGAAAGAAAGCGAACATCCCCTCCCTGGCGAAATATTCTTCTGAAGACAAAAGGCGCCGTCTGCTCGAAGCCCTTCTCCAGTTGTGACAAAGCCTGCCGGAAAGGACTGGGAAGGACTTTGGTTGAGGTGACATCGGTAAACTGATCGTGCGGTCTGCCCATGTCTGCTCCTCGGGGATGTCCACTTTGCCATCTGGGCCTTGGGGAGTCTGACTAACTACTTGCCTGTCAGAAGGCCGGCCATTCTGAGCGTGCTTAGAACCATGAGCTCAATCGCCACAACATCAGTGAGCAAAGTCTCAAGCACTTTGGCAGCAACCACAGCAGCTTCTTGTGCTGCTCCTCGCTTTGAGGAAGCAGGCCTGGGTTGCAGAATTCTCTAAAGTCGAAAGCCGTTGCGAACTCTGAGGAGAGTTAGGTGTCTGACGCTGCACCACGGCTTGGAAGTCACCTTGGCCATCGCGAGGGCTTGTGGTCACACGTGCGGCATTTGCGGCAACCCAGAACGAGAAACTCCTCAGCCCGACGGCAGACGCAGAACAGTCAAATCTGCATCGCCGCCGTGTGTGCGGCTGGAGGCGATGCAGTAAAGGGATGTAAAGGGAGCTTGCGGGAAAAAACGGGGGAGAACAGGATGGGACACCTTGATGCTTGGTTTGCAACCTGCAGCGTTGAAAGAGATTATGAGATGGGAATCCGTGTTCGCATGCAGTGGCAGGCAAAGGTTTCAATAGATTTTGGCTGCCGACAGCCCCATGGTGGTCAGGGGTGTCAACTTGTCGTGACGTTGTTGGACGTTGTCTGAAAGCAGCCGTCAAGCGTTTCAGCAGTTTTCAAATAAAGCAAATTCGTGCTCACTTTTTCAAACCGATTCTTCTCTCAGACACGCCGCTGTGTTTCGGAACCAGGATGAACCAGGGATAACCATGCAGAGGCCGTCGCTGCTTCCTAATTTTCCTACATTGTCGTAGCCAAGACGAGATTAACTTTGTGCGGTAGGTATTGCAACGCCTGCCGGAACTTCATCTCGGATGATGTGGCATGATGTGCCTTTGTATGTCAGCAACTTGGTTTTACTCACAAACGTGTGCGATGGCCGCCCCTGGCTCCAAGCCTCTTGTTGCAACAGACGTTCTACTTGCTGCATTTCCGTGAATGGCAGCTCTTGGGGTTACCTAGATCTCAACAGGCATCCGCGTCGGTGTAGGAGAGAGATCACTATCGCTGAACGTGCCTTTAGGCAGATGCGAGAACGTCGAGGGTTTGGATGAAACGTTTCCACTGGCCAGTCCTGCACCTTTGAGCAGTGACTGCGTGTATCCAGGCAAAAGCAATTCAACTCTGCAGCAAGCGGGGGCAACACCCATTGAAATGCCGCAGAGAAGCGCTTGGGCAAAACATCTCCAAACCCAAGAAACATAAACAAGAGCACTTGCCAGTGTCCTTCGTGCTGCAAACCTGACCGAGCTTCCAGCTCTCATGGACTGCAGTGACCCCATCTTTGCAGAGGAGCCGGTAGATGGCTATCCTTGATAGCTCGGCTCGGGCTAGGATTCTGCATGGGCAACCCCTAAGAAACACCTACCAACGTGCCCAAGTCACTGTCTGAGGCAGCTGCGTGTCAGTTCCTGTGGTCGATGCAGGGGCCTTTGGTGCCCCAGATGCCTCGAGAAAGGGCAGTAATTAGCAATTAGTTGCTGAATCAACTAAGGTGCCAAAGTTGCGTCCGCTACTTGACACGCGGCAGCCAATCCGGCGAACGAAGCTCAGAAAGTGGCGCCCGGATTGAGCTGCTCAAGGTGCTCATCGCGAATCGACCTGTCAATCTTGCGTGTGAAATTCTCTTCGCTTTGCAGGTCTGCACGGAGCTTCGTGTTTTCGCACGAACTCGGTCGTTTAACGTGGGCTGCCACGGTGCAGGATTACTGAGGCCGCGGCTTAACACCAACTCCGGCAATGCGGACGTTCCAGCGGCAAGTTGCAGCCTCAGTAGGCATGTGCTGCACTGCTCTTCAATCCTCGTGATGTTTTCAATTTCATTGGCATTGGCATGTCCAAGTATTGCAGTAGATAAGTATCTCGAATGGAATTTGGCTGGATTCTTGCTTGACTGGCAGAGCACCCCGCGTTCCACGTCTCCACAACGCCTTCGCATCCGTTTAGCTTTGCTCCCATGGCGCTCTGCAAGCCTGAGCTATTCGAGCTAATTGATGCGCATTATGACTTGACAAGAAAGGTCGTAGGCAATCGGCTGTGAATACGCACCTGCGCTCCAGGATACACATCCCGAGCTTTTGCCTTGGCAGGCGACATGCCCCTGTACCCCAGCAATCTGTGTCACTTGGAATTTCGTTGGCGTGAACTACTGTGCAAGGTCTGGCAGCCACATGCTTTCAAATTTATGTTGCAAGACCATGTTCAGTGGTTCACTTTGACAAGTTGGTCGTGTGTTAGCTTTCTTGGCTGGTGGCATCGTCCTCTGTCATCGCCTTCTGCGCAAGCTCACTCAGCAGCAGCTTGGCCCAGTCCTCCACTTCTCACAGGAACTCTCTTTGGGATACGGGTGAGGTCTCTGGCAAAGGCAGGTAGATATGTGCTGTGAATATGCTTGCGCTGTGATGCTTCAAAAACTGTCTTAGCGCACAGATGTCCGTCCACAGTCACAACCATGAAAGCATTTGATCAGTCCTATCACTCCTGGGGTACCTACATATACAGGCGCATCATGTGCATGTGGATTCTGCGATTTCGAATTGTCCTCCAACTGCTGCACCTCTGGAAAGATTCCTTGGTCCCAGCTAGGTGGCACATGTGGCACCTGCCGCGCCTGCATGGGCCGGCACACTAAGTCAAGGACGGTGTAGCGCATCACCGAACAAGTCCACAGGTACATGGCTGGAAGAACCCTGCAAGAAGACGCGAACCTGCAAGCAGGAGGCATGACAATTTCATGGAACACGTTCAGGATCCATGGCAGGTATGAGCTTTCCGACGGACGCTGATTGAAATGATAACTGCATGCTCGCAAGAGTCTTATGCTCAAGCCAGATCTGATCTATCTGAGCACCGCGTCTATGTACAATCAGCAAGCATTCTAGCCAGCGTCACTCGTCACCGATCTTGCTGCATTCCTTGTATTGGGAGAGTGGGAGATGGTGACCTGCTAGAAACAAGGTCTTGTCGGCGGGGGAGAATCACACCAGCCAGCTGCATTCAGTCCGTTCTCCACGCCACTGCTGCCATCGTTCACACCGAAAGCTTTTTCATGTGGTCAAGCACCGTCTCGTATGAATTGGTAATCCTTAGGTGCTTGCAAGCGGGTTGCTTTCAAGCAAGAACAAGAAATCAGATGTCTATACTTCAACAACGTATCTCCACCAGTCTCTACCTCTTCACATCGCACGCGTTATCTGATGCTCTGCAACCAGCACAATGTAACCCACAACAACTAAGAGTACGCATCAACACATATGGGCACTTGCCGCAAGGGCACACAGTCTAGAAGCAGGCGGCATCCATTTTTACTATGCTCGAGACCAATATTCTTCGTGCTAAGCCTGCTCTAAGTTCCGAATTCAAGCTTTGGGGTTTCGGGTTTGGGGCTTAGGGTTAAGGGTTCTTGCAAAAACCAGCATGACCCCTGAAGCGCGGGAAAAGAAGATCGTGGAGCACAGTTCCGGAGAACTAGGTGCAAGGGGTGTAAGACCCAGGGTAGAATATGGATTGCTCAACTGACAGCGTGCCAATCACAGTCCCTAAACCTGCAAGGTCAATCTGTTTCGCTACCATGGAAGCCATGTCGAAGTCTTGATTCCTGGTGCCCCGTTGAGTCAGAGCAATCAACACCAGACAAAAATATGCCGGAGCCGAAGGTTTGCTTCCAGTTGCGGTTCTTGGGCTTCGAGACTGATTTGCCTTTTGGTGTTTGTGGGTTGCTTCTACATGCTATTCGCCTTGGCCCTGGGCGTCGGAGGTTCTCATAGTGACCTCCTGTTTACCCACCTCAAACCTGCAGGTTTATACGAGCGGTTCGGGATGAGTGCAAATGCGTGGATTTCGTGGGCTGGGTGCCCTTTGACAAAACTCCCAAGAATTCGCCATCGCGAACAGCTCAGAGCCCAGGGCCTGCATTTTTCCCAAACTTTTGTTGCAACTGTGTGGGGTTGATGGGCAATGGGCAGAGTCGGACAAATCGTGAACTGAGCACTGATTGGTCGGTTTGCCGACTGTTAGGGATGCAAGTTGCCGCTGCTTCCGTGCCAGTACGTACAGCAGCCTGAAGGTACTCGCTACTACTCGCTATCCAAGAAGAAGAAACATGCCACCAATGCGAGCAAGCAACGTCTGAAACTTTTTGAGTGCTTGCTCTTGTTGCAATCCAGGATTTTTGTCGGGGTGGTATTGCAAAGCCAATCTGCGATATGTTTTGCGAACCTGCGCGCAGCATCGCCACAGCCGCAGTCTAGAGTGCCAGTGCCACGCAAGGCTTCCAAAGTGCATGCATGCTCAGCAAAGCGCACCTGCTCATGGCTAGCTGAAAGCTCCAACCCCAACCTCGGAGGAATGTTGCTTTGACCGACAAACATCAGCCGTGAGCACCGTAGCTACAGCCACATCAAATTTACCAATAGTCCTGTCTTCTCCTATATGGTCCAAAGTAGTCCACTTAGTTCCACATTCGGGTCGCTGTGCTTGTCACATTATGATGGCAGGCCACTCACGGAAGGCTGAGGCGACTTTGGCCGAAGGGACAGAAGCTGGAGGACCTGGGCTGTTTCATGCAGATTGACAGGTCCAGCTTTACCCTGTTCCCACAGGCTAGGGGCCCATGCCTACATGACGGGGGCCCGGTTTCCCAAACTAGGGACCTAGGCCCTCAGAACTCTATGCCTGCATGCTAGCATAATGAGTGGGGGGGGGGGGGGGGTTGGCAAAGCCCCCATTCGCAAACACAGTGCTCATATATGACAGGTTTGGAAAGGATTCAAAGGCTTTGTGCCGCAATTCCTCTTGATAGCAGGATGATTCTAAACGCAAGCTTGCATGGCTTTCTTACAGCGGGGGAAGGACCACAAGACCACAGCCCGACACCTAAACTTAAACAAGATAAACGCAAGCCCAAGCCACACCTTCAACACAAAAAACCTTGGCCAGCTCAATAACGTACAGGGTCAAACCTTTAATAACGTCCGCAGCAACTCAAGGGTTGTAATTTCCTGAAGGCAAACACCTGTCATCTGCGAATGACAGGAGTGTCCGACAAAAACTCAGAAAGCATGTAGGCGAGACATGACACTCTGTCGCGGAGGTGGCTGAAATCGTGACCAGTCAGGTGGGTCAGGTGCCTCCCAATCCTCGGGGAGCACGCCCCAATTCCTGAGCTTGCACCGACAAACCAACCTCAGCACGAAACACAGGAAGCAACATCTTGAGCCCAAGTATCTTCAAGACCAGCTGCGCAATGAGCTCCTCATTTGAAACAACAAGAAATGATATTGTTGTGGCAATCTGTTTCTGCGCAGATGTATGGTTCAAGCAGCTCGCCTCAGGGTCTCCCATGGCAGAGATACCGTGCTTGACACATTCCTTGCGGAGCTCTGCTGGCCTCGACTGGAATGACGAAAACGCAAAGAAGTAAGGTAAAGCAAAGCCACCATGTCCACCTCTTAGATTAACTAACGCATCACCGTGGGATTGCTCTGTCGGGACAGTGCTTGGGAGCTGGTTCTTTGGAAGGGCTGCGCAGCCTCTCAAACAGCAGAAGCTTTTAAAGGCCTTAAATGCAGCTGAATGACCGCAGCTCCTGCCACACGAGGTAATGCTTCAGTCGAGAAATCATCGCCGCTTTGTCCAAAGCTTCTGGTGGCAGCCCAAGCAAACGATACCTCGGTCAAGCACAAAGAGCGTCACGCTGCTGCGTGGTTGGCAGCTTCATATCTGTACTTTTGACCTTTCAGACTCACCAGATATGGAAGCAGCCATGCATTGCAGAAATCGAAGATGGTGCCAAGGAACGCTGCGCTCACATCTGCCTGCTTTGCGCCCTCCAGTCGGCCAAGCTCCTGTCGGCTGCATGCATGGAATGGAGTGTACTTGGGAGGGTTTTCCAAGCGTGGGCGCGGGGCCTGGCAACCAAAAAGCACCCGAAGCACAAACAAAATGTACAAGAAGGAGCCCCTGGGAACCAAAAGCGCGCTGAAGGTCGTGAAGGCAATGGGGCACGGGGCGCACAGCGCGGAAGAGCAAGAACCCCACAGAATGAGATTGGAAATGACGGGCATGACAGCCCAGCTCCTCTACGATGACAATGGCAGCTTCCAGGCTTGTCAGCCGATAGACGGGGATGCCTAGCAGCTGGCGTGGAAGGAGCACTCTTCTCTCAGCAGCAGCTTAGAAGCTCGAAATTTTGCAGAGCCTTGCTTCTCCCATCCATCCACGCCAAGGCTGAGGATGAGTCGGTCCATGAGCACCTCGTACAAGCACATCGATTCTGTGCTGTGAGGCTGGAGAGGATTAACAGGTCTGATGGATTTTGAACGGGTCGATGTGCCATACTGTAACGTGCCAGCAGAGCAAAGAAAGCCACGAATCGCAAACGCCTTTCGCAAGCTGACCCGCAGCCTATACTGGTGGGTGCCAAATCTTAAGCACGACCATTTGCATCCTGGGCACCTGGATTTTGTCCGCTTCGCTGGGCCGGCTGGGGAATCCCCCTGTGCTGAGCTCCCGCTCTTCACACTCCTTGACCAGATTATCCACCTCGGTCTGTGGGGCGTGGTGTTAGGACCGCATGTGCATTCTAACACCCCATTTATTCGCTCTCTCTTTCGAAAGGCAACAGGGGTGCACACATTGACATGTCGATCTGTCGCTTCTTTCCGAATATCTTCGACAATGCCCGTCCCAGTGCAATTGAGCGTTCAGCCGTGTCGACTTTTGAGGGCCGTGCCTCGAAGCTTTACATCTTCTTGCGGACGAGGCACCGAAAACTGCGACCAAATCAACACCTCTTTTGTCCACATCATGCAAAAACAAAAAACTCCTTGCCAGCTGAGCACATTGCTCAACTTTGCAACATGGCGCAGTGTCTGTCGTTCCTTTCAGCAAGAACGGCACCTGCTTCAATCGCCGCAGCAGCTCCTTCTCCTCGAGGTTGGGCTCGCTCGGCATGCCAAGGGTAGCATATTCCGCCTCACTTGGCTTCGGTTCCGGGACTTCCAAAAAGTCTCAGGCTGCAAGCGGAGTTGTGCAGACGGCTTGGGTCCGATTCGAGCGTGCTCACAACTCTTAGACGAGTCAAGCACCTGCCTGTAGCAAAGATGAAGGCATGGACTCGTAGCGCTCGACCTCCGTGAAGATGCCCATTGCCTGTGTTTGGTGAAGTCAGGCGACTTCACTCCTCTTGCGAGGGAGTGTGCATTCTGATTGAACCGATCGAACACGGCTGGGTTTTAGCATGGATTTAGCTTTGTCAGAGCTGGCCCAGGACATGTAGATCATCGACTGTTGCTGCTGATGCTACACTCCCGTGTGCATCCAGGGGGCGACTTCGCGTCCAACGGTTTCGACTGGAATGCCCTTCCTTGGCAGATCTTGGCATGAGTGAGGCTTCAACCGAACAGCAGCATCATATAATCCAGAAGCCGCTGAGCATCAACTCCAGCATCTCTGTTACGAGCCAGGAATGCAGAGCATCAATCATTTCCTTCTTCTCAGCTCTCTCCGCGTGCCTTAACTGCCGCACGAGATGCCAATTCCTGAATGCATGCCTGACCCTCATTATCGTCATCGTTCATCATCATCATCATCATCATCATCATCATCATCATCAATCAGTCAGTCAGTCAGTCAGTCAGTCAGTCGATCGATCATCATCATCGTCATCACCATCGTCATCGTCATCGTCATCGTCATCATGATCATCTCTCACCAGCAGCATCTCAATTGTGCGAGAGTCATCCTGATATCGTCATGATTGTCATTGCCATTAACCTTGCTGGCAGTCACTCAGTCGCGCATCCGAGAGGCATCTTCAACATGTGCGAAGAGTCGGCAGCCACCTGCCACACAGAGTCGGCCACCACCACTACAACTGCCCGCCTTTATGAGGCTTTTTGTAAATGGCGACAAGGTTATGACTGGGATGCGAAGCAGAATTCACAGCGGCCTGTACGTGCTGCCACTTCACTGATCGCATTTGGCATTCCTCCTTCAGGCCAGCTGCCGTCATCTGGGACCAAACCTGGTCGAACCATCATGGTTGCAGGCGCATGGAGTTGCACTTGTTTGGCGACATTTCTGCTCGGATGCGTGCTACTGCAGCCAGGTTGCTAAGTGGCTGCGTAGTCGATTGATCAAGTCTTGCTTGTGTGGTCTTGCTTCCGCCGGCAAGTTCCGTTTTCGGCATTCGTGGCGCAGCTGCGTGATCTCCTCATCTAGACGAATTCCTGTAGCAGTTATCGCCTGCTTCAAGCATTTCCAAAGTCCCTCTAGTTTGCAGACCTACGTTTGATTGCGTTTCCGTATGCTTCATTCTGCATCCTGGGCTCCTTCTTCTGGAAGCGCTGAACTTGGTCCAGCAATCCCTGGGCCACGAGCACGCTGGGCATCCTGGGAGCAGGACACTTCGCTGCGAAATGCTGCAAATGTGATTTTGAACCCCCTCTTGCGATTCTGGAAGACATGTTTGGAAAACATGTGTTGCTGTTTTTCACTCCTGCATGGCTGGGCGATCTACAAAATCAGTTTTTAAGCCGGCAGGTTTCCTTGTCTCTGAGTACGAGTCACAGCCACCCCGTTGCACGTAGTATTCTGCCCATGGAGTCAGCACTTTCAAAATCAATTTCAAGCCACTCAGTTTTTGTGTGGGGACCTGGGTGATTTAAAGCCAGCTCCTGGTGCATCGTTCTGCCAGCGCTGTTCTGGTACAGGGTCCGAGCATCAGTTTAGGGTGCAAGGTTTTGGGGCCCTTGGGAGGTGTCAGGGTTCCCGGACATCTTCAGCAACTGCTTCGCGCATATGGTGAGGCTGGTTGCCTGTGGCTTGGAATTGAAGGTCTAAGTCGCAGGTAGCACGGCTTTCAGCTCGATGCCTCCGTTTGCAACTTTCGGGCGCTTCAAATCACAAGCAAAGTCATGCACATGCTGAGAGACTTCGTTGACTCTTGCTGATGCAGCAGACGCACGCAGTGATGATGCCTTGTAGGAGGGTTGAGTCAATGTTGAGCCGCCGGTTGCTGCGTCAGGAAAAGGAAGCTCGAAGCCGGCTTGGGTCCAAAGGAGTGCAAGTCCAGCTTGTATTACCACCAGTGAAATCAATAACGGTTGATATTAGAGAACTTACTGGAAATTTGCCGGCAAAAAGCTGTTTAAGCTAGAAATTACAACCGAATCTCCTATCCAGAACTGATCAGCAGCCAGTTGCATGCCCAAGGATCTTCAGAACAGGAATCTGAAGCCGTTGCCAGCTCTCCTGACAGCAGCATGTTTGCAGGTGAGTGTCTGGACCGCGTCATTCGACTTTCCAAGTACCACCAGAACTTGTCACTGGTCCAATAATCCCGCAGAGCTGCAGCCGTGACTAAGCCAATCATTTCTGCTCGCCGATGTTCGCCCCTGCTGGAGTGCGGGAAAAAACTGGAGATCCGGTTTGAGGTCTTTGCCGTGAAAGGCGGGGCTCTACTGTGTCCTGACTGCAGGGATTTCGACATGCATCTCTGCCTGATGGCCAAGTTCTTCTCCTTGCAGAGGTGCCGAAGGTGCGAAAGTGACATCTCCTGAAACAGCCTGGGAAGCTGCACTAAACCACTGTTGACTAAGCTGCGGTGCTTTCAAGCTTTCTCCATATTGCTGAAAGGTTCAGCACGGTTTTCAGTCAAGGAGCACATATTCCTTCAACGCAGACAGCAGCTCATCCTGGCAGCGGGACGCCGATGAAACGAACATGTGTTAAGGCCACTATTTGTACTTAGCTCACACTAACAGTTACTAACACCAACAATCACAGCTCAAACACGCCTTGCTCAAGTCTTGGCTGTAGGCAAAGCCCTTGCTCTTGTACTGCCTGATGAGGTCTGCCTCTTTTGAGGCCTCCAACTTCTCAAACTCCTGAAGTACGTGCTCGGCACGTGCGCGGTTCTCCAGCCTGGTGTCTGCGCATAAACATGCGCGGAGTGCACCACACGACTCCGAACCCCAAAACCAAAATTCAACAACTCCGAGCGTCTTCTTGTCGGGTATGCCCTTCTCTGCACAGAGTTGGCTGGTTCGCTGCGTTCTGGTAAGGCCGCCCCAGGTCGCCACCGTCAGTGCCTGACCGCTCTCGCCCTAGTATTCCTAGCAGTCCCAGCATGTTTTCCTCTCGTTCGGCCTCCACAAGTTCCGCTCGGGAGAGGGGCCCATCCTCGGCCGTCACAAGATGCCCAGCCTCGCGACGGCAGGCATCCTGAAGTGCCTGCAGGGAGTGACACAAGAGCAACTCACCAGCAACTCAGTCTACAATGTCAGAGCCCTTCGACTCAACCTCCAGGGGCAGCAAGCGCCAGAGTCGCAGCTGCTTTAGCCGTGCTTCCAGCTCATCTCGTGACATCATGCCTTGGGTCTCCGAGGCTAAGGGATCGAATCAGGAGAGGACCGCATGCGCAACGGCGTGTCGTCATGCAGCCGTGGATGCTTGCTGTCTCAGAGTCAGTGCTGTGGAGTTCCCACTCCGCCACAAGCTCTTCTTCAGTCAGGGAGTGCCTCGGTGCAAGCTTTTTAAGCTTTGTCTTGGCACGACATGGTAGTGGGTAGGACCAACCCCATTGATCCCCCCCAGTTTGCAACCACACGCAGGACTGGTTTAGAAGTTCCTTGCTTCCTGTCTTGGCCCTGTGCTCGTCCTGCTTTCTTCCTTCCTTTTTCTTCCTTTCGCTTCTTTTCCTTCTTCCCTTCCTGCCACCTAGTTGGTCTTTAAACGCTGTGAACCCTTTCCAACCCAGGCTCCTCTCCTATCAGCAACGTTAACCCTTAAATCGGCCTAGATCTCTCTTCCCGAGAAGTGCGGCCATAAATGGCCATGCCCCTTTTGCCCTATGGCTGCAGCTTCGGAACCAGCGATCCATCTCTCGTAGCAGCTCACTGGCCGCAAGCATGCCCAAGGCTTCTATTGGAACACCTCGTTCTTCACCTCGAGCAACCATAGTAGTGTGTTTTGGTGGCCAGCCACGTGCTTCCCTATACGAGCTCCAAGTGACAACGCTTCTGCATCGCGCCCGACAAGCCACCACGCCCTCGAGGGCGCCCTGGACCAATCGGAGCATTCACCATGCGTGACAACACGATTAGCAGAGTTCTAAGTGACCACCGTCCTCGCAGTCCTTGTGTGGCTGCTGAACTCTCTGCTGTCCTTGCTTCTGGAAGTAGTTCCTGTTGCAAGACAGAAGTCTTTTCGCTTCCACACTGTCGTGATTTGGACTTTGTTGCTTCCTTTCATGTCGGCTGGTTTTCTTCGTCCGCCTGCTTGTCCAGGGGCTGCTCGAAGAATGGCTGGTTGTCAGGCTCGACTGCGGATGCAGGTCTTTCTTCATCAGCTGCCCTTCCTGCTCATTTTCTGGCTGGCTTTGCACATTCGCACTTTCGAAACACGAAGCAGTTTTTGCAAGCATAGTTGCACAGTCTTCTGCGACACAAATAGATACAGGCCCCTTTGCCTCTTGCCAACAGCAGCGACAGGCCATCGTGGCCTGCTGCAATTGCCACATCGCGTGGGTGCTGCCCGTTGGAGTTGCCTGAGATAGGCTTCCACGACAGGGTTCATCATAAACTGTAGCTTCATGACTTCGCCGGCACAAGTCGCTAAGGTGGTTCCAGTGAGCAACTGCGAGCTGGAGAGCCGAGCCAGTGTCTAACCGTCCCGAGTCCCGCGAAAAGCTTTCTGCTGACTTGCTTCATTGTTCTGTGTCCGCCCTTGCGTGCAGCAGGAAGAGACATAAGCTCCTCAAGCAAAGGCTCAAGCAAAGGCTCAACCAAAGGCCAGACCATGATGTCCAAGGCTAAAAGCTGCTATATAGAAGCAAAAAAAACTCCCAATTTCATGGAGCCCTTTCTTAGCACGCAACTTTCGAGGAGTCGTGGACTACAAGTCACAATTGAAGCCCGTAGGTCGCCTGTCTCCCAAGCACGCAGCTTCCATCAAAGGCGACTCGCCCGTAATGGAGTCTCCGCAGTTTGGGTCTGCTCTTCCTTGTAGAAGGCAGGAGCACAAAGCTCTCGTGGATTCCAGGTTTCCAGATGATCTCAGCAGAGACCTGAGATGACTTGCAATGTCTGCCGGGGTACCCCGGGGTATCCTGCTAGCACCGTCGGTGAGCAAAAGCCGTTTGGACTCATGCTCTTTACGTCAGTATGCTCGACCCAGTGGCAGCAGAGGCGTCTCGCCCAATGCATTTGGGGCGTTGACGGTTGCGCCGGCCTTCAACATTCGCTGCACTGGGTCCTGCATGAATGCACTTGCGTGTGCGTTAAGACATGTCCCAAAGAATCCCGATGCACTGAAGTCTTTTTTGGCTGTCTACCAACACTGAATACTGATTCGTGCCATGCTCCCGGGTAGCTTTCCGGGTGCCACGGGAACTTAAACTTTCGGGCTTGTCCTAAACCCCAATGGCTCCCGGAAAATTCTGCCATGACACTGTAGCTGTCTCTGAACCACCCTGAGCGGCAGCAACTAGTAGACGATGAAGAGCCGTGTTTCCTGCGATGCATGTGCCCCGTCGCCCGACTGCATGCTAGGTAAGGTCACTTGGCTGGGCTGCAACCAGGCCACCATCTTCGTCAACATCCTCGGTCGTGCCTCCGGAACGCATCCAACCAACACAGAACCTAATTATACATGTACATGTGACGAACTATGTGACTGAACATTCCTATGGTGCGTATGAAACATTAAACATGCCTTGGACCTCAGCTGACCAACGACACGAAACTAACCATCCAAGTGACTGCCGGCTCGGGGTGTGCTTTTCATCTCCTTCACTCATGTTTTCACTGGTGTTTGAGCCTTGAGAGTCACTCTCTGATCAGCCTCAAATGCCTGTCGTGCCTGGAAGTCGTCGAAATCGAACATGTCATATGATTGAGCAGCAGCTCCTACAACTCCTGCAATGCGAGTCGCATAATCAACGTTGACCTGGATTTGCTCAACAAAGTGAAGCGAAAGCAATTGCAGAAGCGAAGAAGGACTCCTGCCTGGGCTGAAGACCCACCGGCCAGGAGCACATCTCCGGGAAAAGGATGCAACTACTGCAACTAATCTGTTAACGTCCACGGCCCTGTGCCAAATTCAAATGTATTCTGAGTTCCGTCGGCTTGTGGTTGCACCACGCGAACATCTGATCGAACAGGCTTGATGGCTCAGTTTGAAAGATACTGAAATAATTAATTGAAAAACAACCTGCGAGCCATGCAGTTGCAGATTTCTGTTTTGCGTGTGGTATGCAATTCCTTGTTGTCACTGGTGTTGCACTAGTCTTCTTCGGGCGAGCGCAGGGGGGGCGGGGGCGAAAAGTTCGTGAGCAACTCAGTTTCCGTACTTACCGCGAGCACAGGGGCCTCGCGAATTTCTTGGTCACTCAATCCAAGAGCCATGGAAGTCACAGCTCTTTCGAACCTAGCAGAGTGATTGTGCAACATGATCTCAAGCAATGCCAGGCTCACGAAGTCCGTACCTGACTTGGCATCTAGGAGGCCGGCTCAGCTTCCTTCAGCTGCCCGTCCCCTTTTCGGTCGAAGCTCGCGAACACCTCGAGAGGGCCACTTGTCGCAACACAATGACCATAACATCTCATACGCAAGCCATGGGCTCAAACGGCAGAAGTACAACCAGTCAGTTCCATAGCTGATCGCGAACTCAGCCCACCTGAAGCCAGTTTTGTCGACGCGCAGATAAGCCCTGGGATGCAAGCAGGAAGAAGAACACCATGGTATGCCATTGCAAGGATGAATGCAGACTTGACAAGGGAAGTGACCGCGTCCCAGTGTTTCCGAGTGCCGTGCTCGCCGCACTCGGCTGAGTAGCACCCGCACCTCAGCTCCATGATCATGCCAACATTGGGGCAAGAGCATCTGTGCGTACCATGTACGCGTCGCCACAATGGCAACTTTCCGGTTACTTTACTTTGCTGAAGCAGTTGGGGCAGCTCCCATCATAACACACATGCACCACATTGTGCAGGACTATTGTTCAAGACTCTCCAACATCCCACTACATCATAGCTCGTCGGGAACGAAGCTGGGCTCATCGCCCTCAATTCGCCCTCTGCCAGAGCATGCTGAGGTGCCTCGCACAGAGCGGAGGAGGACGCTGTCCAAATCATTGGCTCAGCTAGATGTGCAGTGCTTGGGCCCTTGCTGGCGTTGAGACGAATGGTGGAGCCTCAATTGAAACAAACTTTTACTTCTGTGACGCAGCTAGGGTGGGACGTGCTAGGAACCTCAGATGCCTGACGGGTCCAACTTGTCCCGTAAAATGCGGAACGTTGTAGATTGGCTCGAGCTGTAAGGAAGAAAAACTAAGTATGGTGCATGCCATTCTCGCCGAAGAGGCTGTTCCTGAAACCCAGAATGGCGCATAAACCACAACGAGTCACAGTCAGTCCTACCTGACCCAAACGAACTCACAAACTCAACAGAAATGTGTGCAGATATGTGTTCAAAATCGTTTACAAGCTAGGAGCCTTTACAGGAGTAACGTGTTCCTATGTGGACATGGAGGATGCTGGAAGCCTCGATGATGGGCGGTGCAGGCTCAGGCTCCACCTGGCGAAAATGCGCCGACGGCGCGCAAAGAACCGCTTTCCTAACACTTACTCTACCTGTCACGGGGCGTGGGGTTCCAGGTCATGTTGCAGTTGATGTTTTACATCAGGGTCTCGAATTTTCGGGGCTTAACTTCAGTAGTCTTTTTGCTATCCTTTTCATGCTTAACACCCTATGTGAACCCCTATACCAGTCTTAACAGTCTAGAACTTAAAACCCAAGAAACTGTGAACACTAAACTCTGAACCCTATGCTGCCCGGAAGCAAGGCGTTCAAGGCCGCTTGGGCTTCAGGGACTTGAAAAGTTCGACAAGCTTTACACAAGGCACATGTCACAAGTCTTTTCTGCACACCTCCCGTCCCCAAAGCTGTTGCAGCAGCGGACTGAGACGAGTGCTACAGCCTACTATAGGGGCCTGGGTCGCCCATGGAAGAAGTCTCTTTCACTACGTCACTACGCGTTCCCTCCCCGAAAGCCGTCGCGACGCAGAACCCACGCGTTCATCTTGAGCGTTGCCCGTAGCAGAAGGTTCGTGGTGGAAACAGAGTTCAGGGTGTACCACTGAATACCACCGAGGCAGATCTTTGAGTGCAAATGTGCACGAGCCTCTGAAGTTGCGCCAAACACATCTTATGAGCAGGCCCTAAGATGGCTTTTGAAGAATACCGTACCGTACCCTGTGGTCGCTCTCCAGTTTGGTGACCAGGCTGCTGACTCTCTTCAAGTTCTCGATGGTAGACTTGACCGGCGGGATTGCCGCTGCTTTCGGCCTCAACTCATGCATTTTCTGAGGCGAGAGTGCAGCTTCTCTCAGTGGTGGCTTTCTTCGGCATCTCCATCTAGAGTGCCTTTCCAGACTCCCTCAAACTCCCTGTTCCAGTATGACAAAATGATCGTTCACAGCTACGGCGTCTTCCTGGATGGGCAAAGTTCCGGACTCAGGTGGCTCCTTGGAGCCCTTTCCTCGCAGTGCCAGTGGGAAGTCATGCTAGCTTTCGACGTCTGCCATTCATTCTGACTTATTCCGCTCAAAGTACAAGCTTGGTGTACTCAGCTTTGCAAATAGCTTCTGATGTCATCAGTGTGACAGCCTCCCTCCCCGCACCTGAACGAGCTTCTTTCGCATCTTTGTCTGCTTGCCCGGAGTTGTCAAAGCGCCGAACATAAGCCTCATGAGTTGTCAAGAGCATCAAGCATGGTATGAAGGGTGACGAAGCTATTCTTTGACGCTCGACTCATATGTGTCTCGGCTTCTGAGTTCCTGACCCTGGAAATCAACTCCTGGCCACTTGGTCTCTTGCTCGAAGATTTCTCAAGTATGTCATCCTGAAGAGAGCACAGCTTTGCAGTTTTTGGCAGTTTCATCCCTGTACCGGCCCACTTTTTTGAGTCAATGTTTTGCAGGGCCCTGGCCAGCAGGGTGCGCAGGTCTGCGCTGTACTGGGGAGGGATCGGTTCGTACCTCCGAAACGCATTGAGATTCGCCCGCAGGTTTGGGCTTGCAGGTACTGGGTGCCGCACGTCTCGCTGACGATCTTATAGACGAGGCCAAGCCTTGGACCGACGGCACCAAAAAACTAAGAGGAGGAGACTAGGAAGCGGAGAGACAAGAGAGAGCATCAACGATGAGAGAAGGACTGCGGCATTTCTCCACTGCTGCACGCAGCATGCACTGTACGTGCTGCTTTGGGTGTTCAGGATGACCGCACTGGCAGCTACCTACCGCCTCGGGTTGTCAGGCACACGGCGGGCATGCTGACATTCTTGCTTGCCCCTGGGTTCGCATTCATGGCCACATCTCTCCAAAGGCTGTGCAGCTCAGGGTTGGCCTTGATGAAGGTGGTTCGCCGTCAATCCAGAACTTGCTCTGCTCGTGTCATGATGTCAACCCGTCAACCCCCTTCAGGGAACCGATGCAGGACATGCTCGGTCAGGTCGAACCAAGCTGCCTCCGCATGTGTCGGCCGATGGGACGTGGGGATTTGCGCGCTTAGGCTCCCCAAAACCAACATGGAAAACGAGACTAGGTCGGCTATCGCAAAGTAGTCAGGGAAAGACACTTTAGTCGCCAACCTTGTAGTTGAGCATGATGTGGCTATCTGGACAACATCCGACGTCTCCGTCAAGGATGCCGGCAGCAAGCCATGTCGTTCCCGGCTGGCTGTGGTAATTCAGAGCAATGGTCGAACCTGGCTCTGGACTATTTGCTGGCACTTAAAAATTGTCGGGATGCGTTGCCGACGAGCCACCACATTTCGGACAAAACCTTGATGCGGAAAGTGCTGCGAAAAATCTGGTATGATTAATGCGCTTGTTGCGTGCTGCGAAAAACTTTCCCAAACCAGTCCCAGCATCGTACGGTTGGCGGCGTCAGAGCTGTTGAACCTTCTGGGATATGCTGGGCTGGGAGTCTAGAACCACATGCAGTCGAGTCTTTCAACAGCTGCGCTATGCCAAGTCTGCCACTGCCGTATCGCCCGGCGGCCTCAGGGGAGCCCACGAATGCAGTGGTAGCAAGCATCAGCAAGCTTGCTTGACTTTTTTCAGCAATGTGTGCTGTGTAGCTGCTCGGCCTTGAGACACTTCAATGGCCGAGTCGGGGAATGCAGCCCAGGTCATGAAGGCACCACCACCCTAGCAAGGCGAGACTGAGGCGAAACACAACTCTCTCTCTCTCTCTCCTGCACGCATAGCCCCCCCCGAAGGGAAGGCTGCCCCAAAGGGCGCGCGAAGTCCACAACTCTCTCTCTCTCTCTCTCTCTCTCTCTCTCTCTCTCTCTCCCTCAGAAGGATCAATTCATGGCAAAAACTTAAATCAAGAGCTGCCTGCTTGCTCAACCTCCTTCTTATTGCGCATGCTGTCCCGGCCTGTCGTCGACACATGCTGCAGTGACAGTGCATGAGCCGCAGTGGAGGCTCTTGCAATCTGAGCAGCTTCACGGTGGTGTCAGCTGATGGCTTCAAGAAATCTTTGCTTGAGGGCTCTTTGAGGCTGTCATAGTAATAGGGCGCCTCAGCCTCACAGCACCACAAAGGCAGCCGGCACCTCGCATGTTTAAGTTCTGGCTCGTAGCACCGACATGCAGAAGCCTTGTGGCAGGTTAACAACAGCACAAGGATCTCACCCGAATAAAACACATTAACGAAGATTTACGATTTATTACAGAACCAGTCTTTGACCGTCCTCATCGGTCGGCCTTGGGGCTGCTGCAGCTGATACGTGCCAGTGGCCTCAAGTTGCATCCGGCGATAGAGGCCACAAGGCGTGCGGCAGGTGACCGCTGCATCCCCGGAGATGGTGCAAAGCCCTGCCAAACGCATGAAAGATAAAGATAGGCAAGGCGTAGAAAAAATGAGCAAAACATGCCCAGCAGCTCAAAGGCAGAGGCTTCAAGTTGACTCGATGCAAAGAACTCATGGTTTTTTTTCTACAAGTGCGGACGATGCTGAGGCACCTTTTTTCATCTCTTCGGGAGTGCTGGTAGCCTGCTGCAAATGCTGTATCAATGTATTGCTGACATGTGCTGGCGGGCTTGGTCTGCAGGAAATGTAAGTCGGATAAAACCTTCCGATCTTTTCATCACACTTTTGCTCCCATGCAAGACTAGCCTCGCTGCAAGGTCCACATGCTGCCAGCGAATGCCAGGCGCGACGCTGTGGTTCCCATCGCGGCAAGCGTTACGGGATTCTGAGTGACTTCGCTTGGACCCAGTGGCTGCTCTGGTGGCTTCCACGCAAGTGTCAGTAACCTGCGTCCACCTGTGTCCCATGTTGACATCCCACTACCGCTCAGGGCGCTGCAACGACTGGCTTTCAAAGGCATGCTTAAGCATGCACCTGAGAGATAATCTGGATTTGCACATCGGTTGTTAACAAATGCCATATCGGAAACTGAGGACTGCCACATTTCGTAAAGCACGCAGCCCAGGGCCCAGATATCACTCCTCGATGAGAGCAAGGCAGTTGGTACAGCAATTTTCGACCGTGTGGCTTTCACAAGAAAGCACGCATATCCCCGCAAGTCGCAAGGAACGGTGGACTGAAGCTGACAATGCAAGATCTCATCTTGAGCAGGCGGCTTGTAACCATAAGGCTCAGCTTTGCAAACCTGTCACTTTGCAGATGTGGGCATGATTGCGAAGTCTGCGGCAGCTACCAGGGACAGGCTTCAGGGTCATTGGATGATAAGGGCCCCTACTCGACCTGCAGCGTACGGCGATTGACAGTCTTGGTGGAGGCGAGTGAGTTCTTGTCTGCTCGTCATACACCATGCATGCGCGCGTGGGTCCCTTTTTGCACCGTCCAGGCCAGGCCTCGGGAGACATGTAGTATGGCGTTCCGACCACCTCAGCACACAAGACCGCAAGTGAGCTAGCAAAACAAATCCAACGACTGAGAGCAAGTGTTCTAGTACCTGATCTGCATCCGCAAAATCACTGTCCCAAGTTACTGCTTCACAAAACAGGGTGATACGGAAGATCAAGCCTTGACAACAGGTTTGGAAAGCAACATGTCAGTCGTGCAAAATATATGTTCTTTAGAGCTCATGGCCCTACTCGCCCGGCCATTTCTTCTGGGTCAGTAGAAAGATCAGCCAGCGGGAGAGTGTGGAGGTTCCGTAGAAACAACGGGATCGTGATGGTGCGGAGTGCAGGCTGCATGCTGCATGTGAAGATGGTGTGGTGCAAGTTGTGAGGGTGGCTCTGCAGAATGTAAGCTGTGGAGCACAGTGGTGCTACTGCTACGTACATGGGTGGATTGTGCTGTGGTGCGGTTCGCAAGCTGCAGGCTGTGAGCACCGAAGCTGCTAGCTGAGGGTCGCTTTGCAAGGTAACAGAGTGGTGCATGTCGGCTGTCTCTTACAGCGGATTCTCACAAAGCAGGGGGACAGAGATGCATCACATATGTCAGTGTCTCCTGAAGCACTACCTTGCACTTGCAGAGAGAAGGAACGAGGGGACGAATAGAACAGAGTAGTGGAAGTTGCTTAGTTAGGTGGGGCGCATGACGTTGCGCGAGAGAAAGCTGAGACCCAATGGATCGGAGCGGTATCGCGCAATCCAGTAAACAATTCGGACTTCCTCGACTAAAGCTCCCCTAACGACGACCCTCGCGGCGCTAAGGGAAAAGCCGTGACTGTCACTCTGAGATGAATGCTCTGACTGTATCTGGCAAATGACGATCGGCTGCTGGCGAGTACGAAAAGGGAGGTGATGTTCTGCTGCTTGGGCCTGCCGGCGATTTGATTCCAGCAGAATGGAGGCTGGAGCATAGGCACTTGATATTGTGTGTGCCGGGTTTTGATTTCTGCTGAAAGCTTTCCGTAGATCTGGACGTTGAAGGGCTGTGTCTGTCATCTTTTACTGCGCCCTCTTTTCCTGCTGTCGCCGCGTCGCTTGATTGGTCTGCATGAGGATCCGGATCTGGTCCTTCCTTCTCCTAGTGTTGGAAGTGGAAGGTGCTGTTCTGGTAGTTCCGGACAGTCCGGGCGATCTGGAATCTCTGGATCTTCATGTTGGTTTCCATCCAAAGGGCATATTCTTCGTTGTACTGCACTCCGATTGCGGGCGTCTTTGCTGTGGGCTGCTCCGGCTTGTGGCTTGCGTGCCAGCATGGCTGGGTGTGTTTGGCGGGATGGGGTGCTTTTTTCTGGCTGCTGCGCATCCGTGACTTGCACTAGATATACCTGTCGCTGGAAGGCAGTGAGGTTCTTGTGTGCGTAATGTCGAGGGAGGTGTTCGAGAGCTTGTCATGAAGTTCGCTGCTTACCGGTCGAGACAGCATTAGCAAGCTAGGGCACTCGCGCGACTGTAAATGCCAAGATAACACAAACTGCTCATCAAGAAAAGGAAGCTCTAGGGCATATAACCTAGGAGTCTAGACGACGGGTGATATGATGTGATGTGGATCGGATGGTGAGGGTGACCATTGGGTCTCTCAAAACGTTACGAATGATGAAGATGACGGCCTCGAACCTTGCTTGTCGCGCTCGGGGCGACCTGCAGATAAATCATCTTCAAGGCCCCCTTGCGGGATCCCCTTGCCGTGGTTTACCTTGAAAGGTGATCCATGTAAGGGTTGGGCATGATAGGCAAGGATGGCTGGTTGAGACGCAGTTATTGGTTTAATGGGTGCCAGCAATCTTGTAGGTGCTTCAGTACTGAAGGTAAAGGAGAGGAAGTGAAAAGGTAGAGGAGGACGCAGGTGTCGATGACGCAGACAAGACTGATAGTATGCTCACTGTTGTAACAGTGTCGTAACCGTCACATGTAGGTACCACCCAGTGCAATGTCGAATGCGGCGTTGTCCGAGCGTTGTGTACGCCACATGTTGTAGATTCTGGCTCGGTGTTGGCACCGCGCGCGCACGCACGCACGCACGCAGCTGCACTGTAATTCCGATGCCTGATTGGTGGACGCTCCAAGTGCAGTCCAGGCACTGTCGCGGCAACATCGACCGTGCCTTCGAGGACTCGCGAAATTCCGAAATCCCCAATCCGGACCTCAGTACAGCACGTCAGGCAGATCATACTCCTGTCGATTCTCTTGCTCACTTTTGTTCTCGTGAGTGTTGGTCGTTCGTTTGTGCTTATGTTTTGTAGAGGATCCGTGCTGTCAACACAATGCCTTCCAGGTTAACACTGACCTGGCAGCATCCCAGGCTGCCCTAATTCAGGCCGGCAGGGACTCGTGGTTGTTCTTCCTAACTGTTCAGTTTGGCTCCGGCTATGATTGCCAAGGTGTTATGAGCAGTGTAGGATGTTGTCTCTAAGGCAGCTTCTCGTTCCAGATGTCCATTGCCTTCCCTGTTCAGCCCTGTCCCATCAGAAAGCCGTCGCAACATGATGCTTCGCTGCAGCATGCGTGCTTCAGCATGCTTGGTTGCAGCTCACCCGTCTGAGATCCCAGCATCATAGTCACCATCCCCAGACGGCGCAGTTGTCAAGAAAACATTGGAACCTCATAAGCAAAGAACCCCGTTGTGCACGAGCTGCACATGCTCCGCTTCTTGATTGATGCGCACAGCAGCCCTGCGGCAAGTGCTCGTGTGTTTGGGCTCTGGCTCTTGAGGTCCCTGTGGAGGATGTGACGCTGATGCCTGGCAGGAACATCAGCTACCTACCAAGACAATATCATAGGTGCAATGCAAGCGAAGGACGACGTGCCCTGCAACAAGTGCAGGTGCTTTCTGAGCCGAAGGCCACTGGGGTGCCACACATTGGACAAAGTGCAGGCGCAGGGCTTTTCACTTAGCATCTTACACGCGATAACTCAGCGCGGGGTATTCCGCGGCGCTGCGTGAAAGGACAGCACGCTTTGCGCGATTGAGCGTGTTCAAGCAAGCCGTGAAGCACATGGCATCCAGCGCCTGTCCTGAACCACAGTCGGTGGGATGACCAAACCATGAAATACCAGAAACAGGAGTCCACTCACACAGCTTCCGACTGCATGCCACATGCACTGTGCACATCATGCCCCAGTCCTGAATATCGCGCCAGTCGCGATGCCATCCACCAGGGGTACACGAGACCAGGAAACAGAAACAGCACAAAAGGCACCGCATCTATGAGTTCTCCGTCTGAAAGAAAAACTACTAGGAGCCGGCTGGTCCCAACGAGCCAGAACAAAGAGATCCAAGACAGGAGCATATTGGACAGCAGGCCGGGAAACAGCGGTGCTCCGTTTTGGTCACCTTGTGAAGTTGCCAAAGTTGCCAAAGCACCCACCACAGAAAGCAACAAGTTCAATGCCGCGGCCACAGATGTCACCACAAACTCAAGCACACTCTGAACCATGTCACAGTCCTTGCATCTGGTTAGAGCTTGCAAGCTGGCAGCACATAAAGTTGAACAGACATGCTGACCCCCCTCCTATGAAAGAACGCGAACGGTCTTCAAATAAAACATCGTGGTGAATATCAGCCGTGTCTCAATTCCACGTCCAATGCCCCAAGCCTCGAGAACCGGGGATCCGAGGCGCATGGCTTCCTCTAGGTGGAATATCAGAAGCAACATGAGCACCATGCTTGCGAAACCACGGCAGGCTTCTGATGCCCTCGGCTTTGGGACGTCGCACAGATCCACCTTGCTCTGGAGGTCTGCATATGCTGCAGGTCCCAACAAGAGCTGCGACCACAAGCGGTCTGCGGATGCAAACAAGGACAGCCCCAATACCATCAGCAAGGAGTTGGCAGCTGGAGGCTCGCTGGCTACCAATGCCACAATTGCGGTGACCACCGACCACACCAGGGCCTCTCGCCGTGCCCTCAGGCTGAGGTGAAGATGGAAAGCAGCGGCATAGAAAGCCAGTGATGCCTCTGATGTCTCTGATGCCTCTTGTGCTTGAAGGGTTTCGAGGTGTCTGCTCAGCAGGTGTTCTTCGACTGCTCCAGCTTGCATGCTTCTCACCATGGGAACCCATGCCAAAATAACTACAATTGTCAGGAGAACCTTGCCTTCCAGTCTCCAAGCTGCCAAGTTGTAAACAACATAGTCGCACCTAGACTCGAGCTTGTCGCTTTGCAGGCATCTGGCTTGAATATCGCATGCATGCCTGAACCGTGTCATCTCTGTCTCGGGTGCTCTGTGCCTGCCAGGATCCGAAGGATACACCGGGTACACAACTGGTACACCCGATAAGTCTTTTGTCACCATGCTAATTACATGTGCTTCAGGAGAAGACATTGAAAGACGATGCTGAGCACTATGCTTACCTGTTGGCCGAAGTGAAGCCCAGAATCTCCAGGTCCAATGTGCTGGTATTGACGTCCTGGTCACAAACTTCAATCTTTTATGGCAGAGAGCATTTGTTACTGGGAACGTTGCCACAAGCAGGCAAACAAGGCAAAGTCCATCTTGCACGTTACCGCTTGCGCTGCCTCGCAAGAAGCAGCGGAGGTCCGATCGTGGGCAAGGCCAAGCAGCTGCAAGACGTCGCTGAGGTCGTGCGCAAACTCCTGGTCATGCCAACTTCTTGCCTTTAATGATGGCCTTGGGCCTGCAAGACCTCACTTGACAGTCACGGTGTTCGGGGCACCTGGTAAGCCTACGAAGCAGTGCTAACAACTGTCATCGACAACGGAGCAACAAGCACGAAGTACCTGGCACGGTATGCAGCGAACTCCCGCCGACAGCTGGTAAGAGCACACGGTGCCCACAGGACAGGCAGCTTGAGTCGAGCATGCTGGGTAGCATGCTTGAAATTGCAGTAAGTGCAGCATCGTTCCCTGCAGGATGATGAGCAGCATGGACACCGCTGCCACCGACCAGGCACGTAAGTGCGTGCATGTGGGCTGAAGGTTCAGCACAGCCCAGCCGTGGATGGAGATGTCTATGCCGGGAGCTGAAGGCTGAGTCCAGCTGCTCGTCCACGGGCTTGGATTCTGCGATTCTTGAGGTGTTGCTGTCATTGGCAAACTCTCAGAACTGCCAGCGCCGATGACATTTGCCATGCTTGTGCCAGCACTGAATTATAGAGCATGCATGCAGCGCTGAACTTTCTCTACATCTAGGCTTGTTTGGGTAAAGCAAGATTCCTTAGCCGCTGTCAAGACACAAACCTAAAGATTTATGTCGCCACCGCTATTTTTTCGGGAACCCTCATCATGCTTTCGTGTTGAAGAACCCTGCGATGCAATCCAAGCAAGCAAGAGGATGCAGGAAGCCGTCGTGCCGAGCAGCAACAATCGATCGACAACTGATGAAGGAGACACCTAAACCCTAAACCCTAAACCAGCTGGGTTTCGACTTTAGGGTTTAGGGAAGTACAAGCAGGGCGGCAGCACATGTAGTTGAGCGCTAGTGTCATCTGCACGAACCAGGTCATGATTGTAGCTTCTGGAAGTAGGTCGGGTGGCTTCACCTGGCGCAGTTTGCAAGTTGCCAAGGCTTTACAAAGAGCTGATTCGGCATGTCTGCCAAAAACAAAAAACATGTAACAACACCCTGAGTTGGGCTCGTCAAGCTCGAGTCGGCAAAAGAGTGTGTATGAGTGATTTGTGATGATTTCTTACCAGGCTTATAAATGCTTTCGGCGAACTAGTCATGCACCGGTCACTAACTGCTGCGCCGCAAGGTGCCTCATTTTTATCGGCTCCGTGATTGTGCAATCAGATGCTTGGCTGCAGATGAGGGAAAGTCACCCACAAGCCAGCCTGCGTCCGCCGCTTTACCTCCCCTCGGAGGTCCCCACTGTCGCAGAACTCCATAACCTCAAAAGTGAAGGACCTCTACATGAACCCTTGGCAAACAGCTATGTTGGCAGTCAGACTCTACTAGTACCTGCCACATCTCCCCATGTCTCGGACAGACGAACAACTGCAAACCGACGACACAGACAACGCAGGCTCCACAGGCAAGGCTGCTTGAACC